AATACAACAGTTACTAATAGGGCATTATGTAAAAATGTGGATGTGTAACAGATGTGATTCTGCAATCTGTATTTAGGGTAAAAATGGGAGTTCATAATCAACTTGAATCTAATGTATGAAATATGATATGTCAAGAGCTTTGTAATGTTTTGAACAACCAATAAAAAAAAATAAACAGCATAGTGGAAGGGAATGACAGAGGAAAGCAGTTTAGAACAAGACATCAGAAAGTGGAGAGAGATTCCCCTCACCACAGACAAAATATATACGCCAAAGGGATTCCCCAAATGACCCACCTGCTCCAGTTGCATCCTCGCTGCCTAGAGTTACTACACAATTAATCCCTATATGAGGATTAATGCATTGATTCACTCAAGAATCTCATAACCCAACAGTTTCACCTCTAAACTCTTTCATTGTCTCACACACAAGCTTTTGAGGGTATAACTAATATCTAAACCACAGCACTGCTGGATTGCTGGATATAGTCATCTGGGTTGGAAGACATTATTATTATTATTATTATTATTAGGTACCAGAGATTGAACCCTGGGGCACTTAATCTTTAGGCCACATCTCGAGCTAATTTTAGATTTTATTCAGAGACAGGGTCTTGGGAGATACTGTCAGCCTTAGCAATTTAGTGAGGATAGTGAACTCACTATCCTCCTGCCTCAGCCTCCTGAGTCAGTGGGGTTACAGGCATACAACAAATAGGTGGAAGATATCATTTTACAGTAGTTAGAATATGACATTCAGTGCCCTCTTAACATTTAGAATTTCTGTTGAGAAATCTATTGTTATTCTAATTAATTTGCCTTTTTAAGTGACTTTGTGTTTCTCTCTTGAGGCTTCTAAAATTCTTTGTTATGGATTTTTTTGCATATTATTTTTTAAAAAAATTTAATATTTATTTTTTAGTTGTAGTTGGACACAATAACTTTATTTTATTTATTTATTTTTATGTGGTTTTGAGCATGGAACCCAGGACCTCACACATGCTAAGCAAGCATTCTACCGCTGAGCCACAACCCCAGCTCCTCAACTGCTAATTTTTTTTTATTTAATTGATTTTATTTTTTTAAATACACAAAAGAGGAATGCATTACAATTCTTATTACACATATAGAGCACAATTTTTCATATCTTTGTATATAAAGTATGTTCACACCAATTCATATCTTTATACATGTACTTTGGGTTTTTTTAAATTACAATTCTCATTACACATATATACCACAATTATTCATATCTCTGTGTATAAAGTAGGTTGACACCCAATTCCTGTCTTGAGGATGTGGGGAAAAAGGTACACTCATAGATTGCTAGTGGGACTGCAAATTGGTACAGCCAATATGGAAAGCAGTTTGAAAATTCCTTGGAAAACTGGGAATGGAACCACTATTTGACCCAGCTATCTGTCTCTTCAGACTATACCCAAAGGACTTAAAAACAGCATACTACAGTGACACAGCCACATCAATGTTTATAGCAGCACAATTCACAATAGCTAAACTGTGGAACCAAACTAGATGCCCTTCAGTGGATGAATGGATAAAGAAAATGTGGCATATATTTTTGCATTTTAATTTTAGGCCATCAAAAAATTCCTTTCTGATCCTTTCTATTTGGAGTTCTAAATACTTCCAGTATCTATATGTCTATCATCTTCCCAGGAGTAGAGAAATTTTCTGCTCTGGTTTGATTGCATACATTTTCTATACCATTATTATGTATAACCTCTCTTTCTTTAGTATCTATTAGTACTTTTTTGTGGCCATTGGGATTGAACTCAGGGGCACTTAACCGCTGAGATAAATCCCCAGTCTTTTGTTTTGAGACAGGGTCTTGCTGAATCACTAAGGCTGACCTTGAACTTGAAATCTTTCTTGCTCAGCCTCCTGAGTGGATGTGGTTATGGGATTTACCACCATGCCCAGCACTTTGTAGGCTCAATTTTTATTTTCTAATGTTATTCTGGATCTTTTGTATAGTTCGTTCATTATAATTTTTTCTTTATTACTGTCTGAGAGTTCTACTTCCTGCATCTTATCATCCAGTGCTGATACTGTTTCTTCTGCTTCATGTAGTCTGTTGGTGAGAATCTCCACTAAGTTTGTTGTTTAATTTATTTCTCCTCCAAGATTTCTATTTGGCTCTTATTTTTTTTATAATTCCTCTTTATTAAAAATTCTTCCCTATCCTGATTTTATCCCTTAGTTAATTTTGTGGTTATTCTTTTAATTTATCGAACATTTTAACAGGAACTTTTTGGATTCTTTGTCCAGAATTTCCTCCACTTTGATATCTATTAGTTTTTAGACAGTTATAAATTTTTAGAAATATCTTATTTCCTTGCTTTCTAGTGATGATTGTGTTTCTTTATTGAGATTTTCACATCTGTTGGGACGTAAATCTCTTCTATTATTATATGAATTCCTTCCTTCTTTTCTTTTTCTTTCTTTCTTTCTTTCCTGGAGATTGAACCCAGAGGTGCTTTACTACTCAGCAAAATCCCCAGTCTGTTTTACTTTTTATTTTGAAACAGGGTCGCACTAAGTTGCTAAGGACCATGCTAATTTGCAGAGGCTGTGATTGAATTTTCAATCCTCCTGCCTCCTGAATTGCTGGGATTACAGGTGTGTGCCACCACTACTGGCATGGGTTCACTTTAGTGGGCTACATTCTCCTTGATATATACCCAGACTGGCGGTATATCTCAGCATCAAAGAACATACTCAACAAGTTCAAAGAGCTATAATCAACCCTTAGCACCATTTTGAGTGTAGAAAATAATCACCTGAAATTGAGACCATTTGAAGGAAAACATATACTAATAAATCATAAGAACTTATTGAAAATTCTCTGTATACTATGCTAATACAAAGGTAGAATATTTTTCTAGAATAGACCTCAAAGTTGGAAATTAGCAAAATCAATATTAAACTTAGAGGAGTCATTGTCTCACTATATTGATTCTAAACTGCAGAGGGGCTGAGATGTGTTGCCAGTTTTAAACCCTGACATCTTGATCTTCCAATCTATGGCTTTTTGAATGAGAATTTTAATCCATTTATATTTAAATAATTTTTAGTGGTAGAGAAAACTTTCTATAGCAATTTTATTTTTTCTATATGTCTTTTAGCTTTTCCTCTCCTTCCTTTACTTTATTACTGCATTCTTTCTTTTCATTGATTTTTTTCATGATATGCTTTGATTCCATTCTCAGTTTGTTACAGATATTTTCTTTGTTACTGCTATTGTAATTATATAAATTATCTTAAAATTCTAGCAATCTATTTTAAACTGTTAACTTCAATCACACATAAAACGTTGTTCTTGGGGATGGCGTCGTGGCTCAGTGGTAGAGCGCTTGCCTTGCACCTCAGCACAACATAAAAATGAATAAAGGTATTGTGTCTATCTACAACTAAAAAAATCCTAAAATCTGTAGTTCTTTATGACTCTATTCTCCTACTTTTTATTAGTGTTACAAATCACATTTTTGTATAGTATATACCCATAAACATAGATTTATAGTTTTTATAAACTTTTTTTTGTATTGGAATTCTATGCATATAAATTTGAATAGTGTTTGTTACTATATATTTTATACATTTACCATAGATTGGAAACCTTTATTTTTATATACTTTCATGTTTCTGTCTATTGTACATTCATTTCAATTTGAAGGGCTTTCTTTAGTATTTTTTATAGTGTGACTTCATTAATAACCAAATCCTTCAGATTTTGTTTATCTCATTATCTCCTTCCTTATTGAAGGGTAGTTTTTCCAGAAAAAAAGGGTTCTTCAGTTACTTTTGTGTGGTAATGGGGATTGATCCCAGGGGCTCTCTACCACTCATATACATCCAAAGCCAATTTTATTTTTATTTTGAAATAAGGTCTAGCTAATTTGTATAGGCTAACATTGTATTGTAAACCTACTGCCTCAATCTCCCAGGTAATTGGGATTATAAGCATGCACCACTCTGCTTGGTAAGATATACAGCACTTTATTTCCTTCTTTTTTTTTAACTTTTTTTCTTGTTTCCTTTCATACTTGCTTGCTTTTATTTTATTTTTTTTCCTCTTTTTTTGTGGCAATGGATATTTAATCCAGGAGTGCTTTACCACTGAAAACATCCCCAGCCCTTTTCATGTTATTATTTTGAAAAATTAAGACAGGTTCTCAATACATTGATTAAGTTGGCCTCAAACTTGCGATCTTCCTGCCTCATCCTCTTAATCACTGTAATTACATGGGATCATAGTGCCACCATGTGCCACATGCCTGGCTAGCATCTTGAATATGTTATCCCACTCCATTCTGACATAAATACTTTTTGCTGAAAAATATGACTGCAATCTTACGGATGCTTCCTTGTACTTGATGAATAGCTTTTTTTGTGTTACTTTCATGATCCCCCTGTCTTTGACTTTAAAGTATTGTTACAAAAGTGATCCTTTGTTTACAATAAGATTATATCTTAGCCAACACAAATAATTTGAAAAATATAATAAATCAAAATGCATTTAGTAAATGTAAATTTATTTTCACTGAACATCATAGGTTAGCAAGACAATACACCAGAGAGAATTGTTATGTATCCTCATGATCATATTACAGACTGGGTGCCACGCCATGGTGCTGCTTTCCATCAGAGTATCATATAACATATCACTAGGAAAAGATAAAAATTCAAAATTCAATGTATAATTTTGATCTCATATATATTGCCTTTCCGATATTATAAAGATACAAAAAACCAAGTTGAATCATTGTAAGTTGAGGTAAATCTATAATTTGTCTTAATTTTTTTCTTTGGATTCATTCTAGTCAAAGATTTTGGAGCTTCTTAAATCAGTATGTACTTTTCTTTTTTCAGATTTAGGAGTGTTGGGACAAATTTCTTCAAATAATCTTTCTCTTTCTTCTTCTGATATTACCATAATATGTATTATTCTGCTGGATTTTGTCCCATAAACACCTTATGTTCTTGCACAGTTCATAACCTGTCAGCTTGGCTGTAGCTGGTGGGTTTTGTTCCCCAGTGCCACAGAATTTCCAACAACACATGACTGACTAACTAATGGCTTTCAGTTTCAGGTCTTGGAGACAGTGTAAACACACACACACACACACACACACACACACACACACACACAAATACAGAACAAAAAGCCAACTTAGGCTCCCTTTGATTTTTTTTTTCATTCTTTGTTATCTTTGCTCCTCTGACTCAGTTTATTTATCCATTTCACCATTGATGGACATTTGTGTTATTTTCAATGTTTGGGTCTTACTATTAAAGCTGACATAAATAGTCATTTGCATGCCCTTTTGTGGGAATGTGCTGTCATCTGTTTGCATAAATTCCTAGGAGACGAATGGCTGGTTTTACTCTTTTAACATTTTCACTGGCATTGAATGAGAGTTCCAATTCCTTCACATATATGCTAATATTTCTATGGATAGTCTTTTTAATTTTAGACACTCTAATAGATATATAATGGTATCTCATGGAGATTTTAATTTAGATTCACCTAGTGAAGAACAATGTTGAATAACTTTTCATGCATTTGTTTTCCATCATTTATTATTACTGACAAAGCTTTTGTTAAAATTTTATGCCAATATTTTTTCGGTTGTTATTTAATTTTCATAGAATTTCAAGGTGTCTTTTAATATTCTGGTTACAAGTCATTCATCAGTTATGTTTTGCAATAATTTTATCACAATATTCGGATAGTTATTTCATTATCTTGACAGCATCTATTTAAGATTAGAAGCTTTTAAAAAAATTTGATGAATCTCCATTTAGTATTTTATCACTTATGTGTATCACCATTGTTGTTATATCTAAGAAGTGTTTGTTTAAGAAAGCAACAAATATTTTCTATTGTGTTTTCTTCTAAATTTTTGTTTTCATCTTACATATAGCTCTATAATTTTCTTATTCATTTTTTCCATGTTCTTATTGGTGCATATAATTGTAGATAGTGGTGGCATTTTGGTGTTGCATATTCATACATACATGATATAGCTATATAATTTGGACAATATCATTCCCCAGTATTTCCCCTTTTACTCTCCTCCTTTGTATTATTTATATTCTACTGATCTCTTGAAATTCTTGAGATCATTCTGCACCTTTCTTTTCTTTTTTCCTCTCTAGCTTCCATGAGTAAAGGAAAGTATATTACCCTGGACTTTCAAAATTTGACTTATTTTTCTTAACATAATATTCTCAAGTTTCATCTAGTTCCATGTAAATGACATAATTTCATTCTTTGTGGCTCAATAAAACTCCATTGTGCCTAGCAGCTCTGGAGACTGAAACAGGAGAATTGCAAGTTCAAAGCCAGCCTCTGCAATGGCAACTCAGTGAGACCTTGTCTCTAAACTAAAAAAAAAAATTACAAAATAGGGCTGGGAATGTGGCTCAGTGGTCAAGGGCCCCTGAGTTCAATCCCTGGTATAGCCCCTCCCTCCAAAAAAGAAAAACCAAAAAAAACTCTGTTGTGTATATATAGCATGTTCTTCATCGATTTAACTATTGATGGACACCTAGGCTGCTTCCATAATTTGGCTATTATGAATTGTGTGGTTATAAACATGGGAATCTATATGTCACTATACTGTGCTAATTCTTTAGTATAAATACTAAGGAGTAGAATAGCTACGTATTGTGGTGATTATATTATTAGTTTTTTTTTTAATTTTAGTTGTAAATGAACACAAAGCCTTTATTTTTATTTATTCATTTTTATGTGGTGCTGAGTATCAAACCGGGTGCCTCACAAGTACCAGGCAAATGCTCTACCACTGAGCAACAGCCCCAGCCCATATTCTTAGTTTTTTGTGGAAACTCCATGCTGATTTCCATAGCAGTTAGAACAATTTGCCATCCCATTAACAGTGTCAAAGTGATCCCTTTTCTCCGCAACCTACCCACCATTTATTATTGTTTGTATTCTTTTTTTTTAAAGAGAGAGTGAGAGAGGAGAGAGAGAGAGAGAGAGAGAGAGAGAGAGAAAGAATTTT